TCTACGGAGTTCGGTTCGGCTCTTTTTTTTGCTGTTAGAAAGTTTTGCCTTTAGCTTTCCCAATAAATCCTATTGTAAAATATGTATGGCGTTGTATTTGAAATTGAATGAAAGCTTGGTGGTGAATATTAATGATGAACAGAGTTTTTTTGTTCTCTTAAACAATTTACCCTTTACTCGCATCATATTTGCCTTTAAGCTATTTTTGCAATTAGGCCCGGCAACATTAACATTCAACATTGCATGGAAACTAATGCTTGTTGATTTGAATTACCGATTTTTCGACGCTGAACCGAAACGCAAGTTAGATTAAAACAATTAATCACACTGGGATTAAATACAAATCATACTTGAACATATGTTTATGTAAAGTTTATGAAAGATGCTTTTGGATATCGAGCGCAAGACCGAGCAAAATTTCTTGGTTTTATTTCAATAAAACGGATTGTCTCAACTCACCCGAAATATGTTTAAGCTCATTTTCAATGCACGAATACACTAAGCTCACCCTTAACAACAGAAAGCTCACCAAGTTCTGTACGTATCAATTCGCATCGTTTTGTGGTCGAAATGCTCAGCGGAACTGTTTCGTTGTTAGAATATAAACATATTTTATGTGTAAAACAAACAGAAATATATCCAAAACTCCAGCTGCTGAATGATGGAAACACGGTATTTATCACACTTTGCCATGCGTTAGGCTTTTGTTGTTGCCAACGGAGCAATGCAATCCGATTAACTCCGGTGTGGGAGATGTTCCGAACCATTCTACTGCAAAATCGGATTTCAGATGACATTTTGCATCTATAAATTACAAGGATTTCCGTGGATTTTGAATGATGGACTATGAAAAGCATGCAAATGGATTCGAAAGAAAGGGTGAGCAGAGGATAAGGGTGTATTCCGCAATTTACAACTCTGTTGTAACCTCTTTTTTTTCATAATGGTTTTCTTTTCCACTCGTCGTGTATAAATCAACAGTTTTGATGTGAAAGGGTAACATTTTGTTTAATATTAACAAATGATTTTCGTTCAGCAGTCACACGAACATTTGCGTGTTGGGACTGGTATTTTCCAATGTCATAATAACAATGAGACATTTTTATTTGGAAATCTAGGTTTTTTTTTCATTAAAGTTTAAGTTGTAGAAAATGTTCATTTTAACAAGATCAGGAAATGGAGCTCTATAATAAACACTTAATTAAAGTGAACTGTGAGTGAACGCGATAGAAATGAAAATCCATAGAAAAACTTGTACCAATATGAGCATATTATCCGCGTTTCTTTATTTCTCAATGTTCTCAATGTTCATTCACAGAGGGAGAAAACCCCAAATATTAAATTGTAATAAATGTTAATATGCTATTGTGAGGCGTCTCAAGCAACGGATTCGAGCACGAATTTGCGCACAACTAAAAATGGATGATTAGTGGTTCAATTATGATTCAGATCGTGGTAATAATATTGCGTTATTGCCCTTGCTATGGTTCTAGGCTAGCGAAATGACACATTGACTGCTGAAATGAATTTGAATAAAAACAGCTTGACAAACGAAATAAAGAGAACAACAGACAATCGAGCGGAGAATTGAATGCGATGAGTGGAATGAATGAAGAACATTCATTATGTGTCAAATCGTTTTTTTTTTTTGTTACGTGCATTGGCCCATTAGACTTATTCAACTATAAAATGCGGTAAACAATTTGATTAACATTTAATTCATTTGCTCGATGATAGTTGAGTTGTGGATGTCATTTTCGGTCGATTCAACACATGTACATTAATTTTTTTTTTGGACGCACACACATGAGACAAGTGAAAATAACGAGATAAAATATATGAAAAAAATTGAAGCGTATTAAATTGCGTGATTGGGTATTTTATTTTCACCATTATATAATTATGTTGGCTGAAGGGAAAACAAATAAATATCAATTCAATTACGTGCTGTATCTGTGTTTTTGAAAAAAAAAATTGTTTATTGCAAAGTAGCGCAGATTGTGATGTGTCTGTCAACCAGGTTTCGTTCCCCGTTCTATCACAAAGATTTGTTTATTGGAATTTATAGAAAATGTCAATGTCATGCATGCACTAAAGTTATATAATGCTGTTATGAGATTTCAAACAGATTCACATACACACCGACAGACAGACATACACGATATGAAGAGTGCTACCCAGCATATTGACAGTAGTGGGGAGATGACAAAAACATTCAATGGCTTTAATATTTGTTAGAATTTCTCGTTTTTCTTCTTATTTATTGCCATCATTGTCATCGTTACAACGGTATGCTCGTTAAATGAGAATGCTTGTATCTCAGTGTGGTTATTGTGTTGTGTTCTGTTTCTCTGTTTCTTTCCTCCTCCTCCTCCTCCTGCTTTTTCTTCTTCTTCTTTTTCTTTTTGGATCACTTTCTGCTGTCTCATCCAACTCTATCTGCCGTTCAACTATATTGGAATCTATGCCAATGCTAAACAAAGAAAGTCGGAACAAACTTTGTATGCGATCGATTTTTTTCCCATTGTTTACACTTAAGAGGACGTCCTCACGATGCCAAATCACAACAACCGCCTGTCTATCTTGTTGATCGTATGCAAAAGCAAAATGAAAGCGGTTCGCTCTCACCACAAATACAAAAGGGATGCAAACTTTTAAGCTGTTCAAGGATACATGCTATCGACACACAAATCCGATTGGCAACGTACTTAACGCTTCGAACATCAAAAGTTTTCCGCAAAACCTGGCCCATGCCTCGGCTTACGAAACACAAACAAAAATGAAACAATCAAACAATTTTTCCATTTTACAAAGTGGAAAATTCTCAAAGTGTTATTCATTTTCGTCTATCTCTTTGTTAAGAGTGGAGCAGTCTGTTTATGTTTCAGATTGCATCAATCAATTTTATCATTACATTGTTGACCAAACGAGAATTTAAAACAACAACAACAACAAAAAAAACGAATGTGAAACTTTACTGAAATTACAAAAATTTCTAATCTGCCACTGCTCAAAAGAAAATGAAATTATGAACGTGAGCTCACACATACAAGCGCAGCGTACAAAAATCGAGGCCAAACAAATAGAAGTTACGATTAGGTATGCATTCAAATGCGTCAACATTGTGTGAAATATTCGAATAAAATTTTCATTCAGTTGACACATGTTTCATATTTCGAAGCCATTATTCAAATTTGATGTGAAAAGGTGGGTAAAAAGAAGGACCCAAGCTTTTTGAAGCAAGCACAAAGGACATCGCACAATTCACTAGAATTGGTCTCGTGCGCGCGCGCTCATTTGCTCAATTGCTCTTTTGCCTTGGTGTAAGCGAGAAAAGGTAAAATGAAACGTGCAATGACTGCATTGGCAGAAATTAAGTTTTAATTATGCACAACACAAAGCGTAAGATATTTTTAAGGTTAAATGCGAGTGTTTGTATGAGTAGAGAAAGAAAACGAGATTTTCTTATGTAAATTTGAGGATACGATAGAGTATACGTGATTCATTCTCACACCACCACAAGAAATAATTAAAATGCAATTCTGAAATGTAAAAGATCGGTCATCCGATTAAATGGCTTGAGCTGTGTTATCGAGCAGAGAGTAACTGTGTTCAACAATCGTCCACCCATCGTTTCCATTTTGTTGCTCGTTTGTCGCGTTGTGGGCATATACCACATCTATTCATTCAATTTCATTTCATTATAATGTGTAGTTATGTGTCGCACAAATGAGAAATGCCGCTCATTATTCACTTACATGCACATGCTTGTTAGTTTTCTGGCACTTAATTGCAACCCGATAACCTAATTCAACTGAAATAATTATCATCAAACTCACGAAGCCGAGCTGCACACCATTCATCTTCAGTCGTACGATTCGAGTGCACACACACTTGAGCAAATAGTTAGTTGTGTACGCGACGAAAGAGATACACAGCATACGAATGAGCTTAAATCGAACAGTTGCATAAAAATAAATTAAATCGTTGACGAAAGTTTTAGTTGTCGTTTGCCGTAAAATTCAACCAAACGAACAAACAACTAGAAATATATTGAGATGAAATTGTTGCAGCCAAAACAATGTGCACACTAAAATTCACATTGTGGATCGTTGAAAGTAACGTGTTTTTTTTCGGATATATTCACCAAATGTCATTCGGTTGCCGTGCATTTTCAGTGCAGCGATTGGACGCAGATATTCCGGAGCCAATTTTATGATTGCGCGCATTCCGCACACCATTCAAATTGAATCTCATGAATATTACAAGTACCATTTATCTGTGCATGATCTCGCCACAGGAAACAATATTGAATTGAAATGAATAATTTAATCAAGTTCCGACATAAAATGTCGCTTCATTATCATTTCGATGAACTATATTTGGAGCGAAAAACCCATTTTAATGATTTATTTTCGGCGACTAACAAAGGGAAACAATAAAAAAAAGAGTGTGAGAGAGAGAGACAAGCCATTGAGCAATCATGGGATGTGGATTCATTACCCGAGAAATAACAAATACCCAAAACGAAAATCAATTAAAACTGGTTTGTGTGCGTCGCGCACTGCGCACATGCTCATAATAATCGAAAACAATGAGCGAAGATGCAATCACTGTTTGCTCTGGCAGAACTTTCAACACCAAACCATTTTGGAAAATGATGTTGCAAGTTCAAGACGAACGAAAAACTTTTTCTATTTAAACAACTGGCAAATGAAAACAAATTTGACAATGATTTCTATCTAAATGGCCCATTAATTTTGATAACGACACAAAGATATAAGTGATGAAATGCAATATCTGTTCCTATTATACTGTCGAAACATACATATATACTGCAACAATTGTTGTGCATGCAACGGCGTGATTACTTGGCAGTGTATAAAAGATTGAATCGTTGGACGATTTGGTTTAGAATGGTTTAAGAAGTGCGAAAAGTAATAAGTGAATAAAAGTGGAAGGAAAAGTGTACACAGACAGTAATTCCAAGCTTGATCGACATGAAGGTGTTTATTTTGATTAGCGTTGTGTTGGCTTGCGCCGCAACGTCACAAGTGAGTTTAACTCAAATTCAAATTGGTTGATCCGTTTCATACTGATAATTTTGTTTTCTTTCGTCCAACCCATGTGTGTGGTTTTTGTTTTTAGAGTTCACCAACTGACACGCCAAACAACACGCCAACGCCACGAAAACTCCATATTTTCGATAACATCAAAGCGGCATCGTCGAATTTAGCATCGGCCGCCTCGAATCAAATATCAAACGGTGTGAATCGAACAACGAACTTGGTAAATACGATGTCAGACGTTTTAACGTTGGCTTTGAACACCACCAATAAATTATCGACCATTGACCGCAAATACTTTTTGGGTGGAAAACTGGCTAATGCATCGTCAATATTTCTAAACACGACATCGACTGTCGTTGTCAACATATTGAACGCAAAGTTCAGCAGACTCAACCGTTTGATTGCCATAAAAACGAACATCACCAACAAAATGCTACACATTTCAATGAATTTCGTGAATAAAACCGGGCAACTTCTCACCCGATTGACAGCCACGTCTCGTCCGCGCTCTTTACCTAGTCGCAAATGGAATATCACCCAAAAGATTCTCAATAAATCAATAAATCTAGCCAATGTGACAGGTCAGTCTCTAGCCAATGTTATCAATGCCACTTCAGTGCTTCTTACAAAATCCATCGATGATCAAACCCATTTTGTAACGGAGCTTCTTAATTCGACGGCCAACATATTAAATGAGACGACTAATTCACTGGGGAGTCTATTGAATACCACAAATCATTTGATTGTGGATGTAGCCGATTCGAAAGTCGATACCAGCGCTTTGGTTCTATATCAAACGGCTAATCTACTGAGTGCATCATCGAAAACCGTACGGTTATTCTTGAATACGACCACACTGCTTATAAACAATGCGGCTTCCAATAAATTAACCGAAAGCGGACACAATTTCACACTCGGCGGATTGAATGTGACCCATAATGCATTGAAAGCGGTTTTCCGTTCAACAGCCTCACTACTGCAAGATGTTATTTCGGCAAAGAAAGATATTTCAGCCCGTTTAATTATCGCTACCGGAGCATTTCTTGATGCATCCATTCAAATAAAGACAAAACTGTTCAACAAATCTCTCGATGCTACGAAACGACTCACAAACAGCACCATCATACATATTGCATCGAAACTGCATGCAACTGCCGACAAACTCACTTCGCATTTGGGCGATTCAACAGTTCCTGTTGCGCCAAACAATAAACCTCTTGCTGACGGTGGAATTGGAATAGCCACCGAAAACAATGGAGCTCAAACCGAACATACGGAAATTTCGACCGAAAATAATGAAATTCAAACTGAACATGCTGAAGTTTCCACTGAAAAGCATGAAATGACAACTGGAAATGGCGAAGCTTCAGGTGACATTGAAACTTCAAGTGCACCAGTTAATGATGATCCAGGTTTAAGTGAATCACTTGAAGATGAAATTGCATCGAAACTACATGCAACTACCGACGAACTCACGCATTTGAGCGATTCAACAGCACCTATTGCATCTAGCAATAATGCTGAAATTTCAACTGTAACTGAAAACAATGGAGCTCAAACAGAATCTACGGAAATTTCGACTGAAAATGCTGAAGCTTCCACTGAACCGGACGAAATACCAGCTGAAAATAGCGAAACATCAGGTGACATTGGAACTTCAAGTGCATCAGTTGATGATGATGATCAAACTTCAAGTAAAGCTTTTGAAAATGAAATTGCCGACAATGTCACACCATCTGAAAGTCTCAACCTATCCGCGCCGACAGGTGCAATTGCCGATCAAACATCCGAGACGACAGGTAATCAAACCGAATCCATCAGCACAAAAAGTGATACTCCACCTGTCGACGCCTAATTAAAATGATTTCTTTTGAAATTCCCTGACTAATACAAAGTAACACAAATTAAATTTTTGAACAAAAAAGAAGAGACTTATCCATAAATAATTAAACTAGTGCCAATGTAGTATAACGTAGTAGTAGTAGCTTGCAAATGCAATGTTAAATTTTAATCTGCATACAAGAAAAACTCTGTTTCAATTACATCTTTGTAAGAACTTTTATAAATATACAATGAAAACAAACTGCCAAGTTTTCGTTTAGTTTGCATTGAATGCGACGGGAAATGGAAATACTTATTCGCACTTTATAATTATTTCAAACATGGTTACAATATTGTAACAGTTTTTCAGTTGGTAAGATGCAAAATTCCATCGTATGATGCGTGTGTTTTCGAACGTTCCCGGAGGATTCTATTCAAGTTAAAACGTCTCAAGCGTATGCAACGAGCTGGAAAATGCGAGAGAAAATCGTCTTTTGGATTTTTGCTGTGTACAGTTTATAGCGCGAGCAAAATGGGGTTTTGACAAATTCATGCACTTTAGCAAGTTAACGGTTTTGATTAATATGCACAATTTACTTGAGACGATGACGGGATGACAAAATACATTCCAGAAAATGAATTTAGCTGTATGCCTGTTTGATCGCGAAATGAGGTTTGACTTTAAGCTTCACTCGTATACTTATTTAATTTACCATAAACAAAACGTCTTCTGCCATACTTCTCCGCATCAAACAAACAAAAACAACAACTCTCAGCACACAAAGGCGAGTGCAAGTGCTGTCACAGACTGTTTCATTGCAATGCTTTTGAGTCATTTCTTCTTTTCATCCCAGTTGCCTCTATTCATCCCAGTTGCTATGAAGTTTTTCCATTGAAAAACTGTGATGCGAATACAAAAACGAAATTTTGCGGCAAGAAAAATGCGAGAATAAAAGAAACGACACAATTTAATTCAATTTATTTGCCGCGTTCATTGACTATGAAGCAATTTAGACGGCTTTTGAATGAGACATTTGGGAAGCTCACTTATTAAAAGCGATTGAAAAGAAAACGAACGAATTAAAGGGAAAAACGAAACAATAAAAAATAAAGCGCGGAGCATTAACTCGATGAGTGCACAAAGTTTTCAACAATTATCGCGGAATGAACTTTGCGCCTCGAAGTTTTGAGCAGCTGATATGTGACTGACATGGTCTGTCACTCAATGTGTTTGCATCATTGAGCTGTTATTTAGTTCTACTCAAAACATTTCCCGCTCAAATCCATCTTTGTCTTAGCTCATCTTATTCAATGACAAAAAGAAAAAAAACAAAGCGTCACATTGCGATTGGAAAAGCTTTTTGTTAATGGATTTGCGTGCAATTCAATTATCCAGATGAATTGAAACATTTATATTTGAAATTTTATTCGATATCCTGGGTTTTGCCAGAGAAAAAGCAATGTAGTTGGTAACCATTTAAAAAAAATCAACCAAACACCCAAATTCAATCACATTTCAAGCATTAAATGGGAAAATGCACACAAATGTTGTCCAAATTGTCAATTTGCTCACCAAAATGTTTGTTGTGCTAGACAAAAAGGGACAGGATAAAACCGAATGGTGATCATTTTGTGTTGTTTAGCCAATCAATTGCACACCCATCCAAAGGTCATTTTCACTCTGATAGAGAAAATGTGTGCGAGCGAGTGTGTCATGCTTCACTAAACCGTACATCGTTTAAATAATATTTTCAACAATTTATCGTAGTTCATGTCAATGTTTCAGTCTGTTATCTGTGCATAACGAATGACCGCTCCAAAAAAAAATCACCCAACATGTTTCATCGCTTGTGTATCACTGGAAGATGTGTGCTATTTTTTCAAAACTCAAATTGTCTATTTGAAATCGATTTTTTATGCCTTACGCCCGAAGCCTCGGGGGTCTAATGGTCTATTCTCGTGATGTGTTTACTTTTTTTTGCCTTTCTCCACAAACTGTGAACAAAATAGATTGTTATTGGCGGGTTCCATGACTAACGTTTGCATCGCCACATCTTTTGCAGCGAAAGCGAAGGCAAAAAAATAGCTGAAGCAACAAAATAAATGAGTTTGGAGATTTTCCATGTAATTTTTCTTCCTCTCTCCCTCAACGCTAGTGGCATTCTTGGTTTGTGCATTTACTTCTTTTATTCTCATTCGGTTTCATTGTTTTCCATTCATCCGCACGTGTTAGATGAGAGGGTGAGGATTTTTTGTTATCTTGGAGTCAAATGTTTAAATCAGATCAATTTGCAAATGCCATCTAAATATTTGGAATGTGTAAACGTGTTAAGCGTTCGCGCTGAACCTTCGTCGTCGTCGTCGTCGCCGCCGATATTCCTTTCAGCCAATATAATATATATGTATGTGTGGAAATAGTGTTTGTGGTGGCTCGTGGCTCATGCATGCGATTCGAAACATTGATTTCGCAACCATGTAATCAAATAAGCGATAAATGAATCTTGTACTCGCTTTAGCGATATGTGGGTGTTGAAAAAAAAATTCCGATCCACACAATAAATGTGCATACGAAATGCGAAGCGGTTGGTTACAGAATATTATAAAATACAGAGTCAACCGCCTCGAAATTGTCGACGATTCAATTTTTTTTATGGCAGCGCTTTCGTTCTTCATTTATTTATTTTCATTCCAATTTCATTCGGTTCCATTTTACATGCTACTGTGAGAGAGTAGTACTCTCTATTTTACCTTCTCCGGATTCTATTTGCCTGGCTTCAAGCGACAACTCAAATGAAATATGCGCTCATAAACGGAAAAAAAAAGATGAGAATGTGCATGTGAATAAATTATATGTGGTGCGTATGCCGTACTTGCTTATCATCCGGCTAAACTGAATGTGTTGCGGCGCACAGACACGGTTCATCACAAATCAAATGCTTTTCGGCAAAAAAAAGAGAGCGATGTTTGCAACCAACGCAAAATCTGAATAAACACATGCAAATTATTACTACGCAACGATATGACTGGCATGATAAACATTTGGTTCCTGAAGATTATTGCGCTTTTTCTGCCTCACGGCGTGTAAACAAACAAGCTCACATATTCATATTGAGCAATTTTTTTTGACGAAACGTCCTTTATTCGTTCTTAGGCAACCGCAATCCGTCTGAGATGGCAAAATTTTGGACGGCGAACGATTTAATGCTCTGCGAAATGTATACGACACAGTTTTATGCGTGACAAGAGCATATGTGAACACATGACATGAACATCGGAAATGTGATATCCATTCATTTTTTTTTCCAACGTTTATCAACCTATATATTGGACGGATATTGATGGCAATATCATCAACTGCCGTAATAGATTGCATTGGTGAAATAGCCGTAGTAAATTAACAAACAGTAGCAAAACGGATGAGTTTGCTCGTAAAGGCTAGAATAAAAAAGGTGCAATAAATACGCAAGTGTCATAATTATTCCAATATTGTGTGCAATCACAGTGCAATTTAAGCGTTTATAAATATTTCATGGTCGACTTAATTAAAAGCTGTGAAATTGAGATGGTAAATGATTCGGTTTTCCAAGCTCTTTATTTGATTGGCCTTTGAATTGGCATCACGTTTTGACCTCCAATATCCATTGCCTTCGCCTTTGTCTCTTTGATAATTAAAATTTTCTCATCCGTTTTTCTCATTCTCTCTCTCTCTTCCTGTCTCTGCACTCTCGACTCCGTTCGTTTGCCATGCAGCTTACAAAACCCCGAAGTCGTTAACATTTGCTATGAAATGGTGATTTGAGCGTTGGGATATTTAACACTTCAGCCATTGCCAAGCGGTTTTTATGATACTGATTTAGAGTTGTGCTCGCATCGTTTAATTTCAGTCGGATTAAATCCAATGATAATCTTTCAGTGTCAAAACAACGCATCCATTCGATTCGTATGACGTGAGACTGTCTCACACTACATTCTATGTCTTCTGGTGTGTTTGTGTCTATGTGTCCGAATTGATTAATTATTAACGCCAAACGCATTTCCTTTTAGCTACCTCTGAATGTTTATGTGTGTACGCGTGTTTGTATCAGTGTTTTACGGTGTGCCATTTGATGAATATTTTTTTCAATTTCGCTCCGCAGTCCATCGATTCAATATAACTTTTGTTGTATTTCCTTCTATCTTTAGGGTCAAACTGGATTATTATACCAGCAAACGACAACAACCACAGCAGCACATCGAACGCAATAAAAACTCATCACCAGCAATATCAGCAGGTAATTTCGATTGTGTTCGAGAGAATGAAAATGACAAAAAAAAATTCAGCAGAAAATTCCAGCGAAACAATTTATCATGTGTTATTTTGGAGTAGATGAATTCTCTGCTGTTGCCATTCTCTCTCAACGAATAGCACATAAAAAAAAAACCTGGAACTGTATCAATGAAAAATGGTCATTCATTTAACACTTTAGAATGGGACGCAACATGGCCGGGTCCACACGTTATTGTGGAAGTTAGCGAAAAAGCACCAAACACAAATGGAACCAATATTGAGGGTAATCAGCATTTTTCATTTCAACACTATCCAGTTTTTTTTCCTTCTTCGCACACTTGACAAACCGAGCATCCGGTTAATTTCCCATTTATTTCATACAATACGCGTGTGTGTTTTGGTTTTGCAGCTGGACCAAAAATAATAGTGCGAACAGAAGAAGTGCTCATTGTTGGGGCTGTGTTGCTGCTATGGATCGGTGCGATTGCCTTATTTTTCAATCGATGGGGAAAAATTCGGATGTTAGAGCCATATCAGCCAAAATTCCAACAGCAGCATCGAGCATCGTGTCCACTTGTCGAAATGGAAGCGATACCAGCACTGAAACATCCATCATTTTCTCGCATTTCGATGGGATGTTCATTGCAAATGCCAGCCAGTGGCCGAATGGGTTCCATATCGGGCCCATCTGGAGTATCACCCAGTGTGTTCACGTGTAACACGGCTCGAGGTGAGTCTAAAACTCAATTTTTCATCTCTTTTAAATTTATCGATTCCATTTTCTTTCGATAAATGTCCAATGAATAGTTGAATTTCATGCCAATTGAGTTGTCTCAATTGGATTTTCTCTGTCTGTACAAAACTCAATTCAAACCCATTATTTCCAAAATAATAATTAAAACATCATTTTCACAGCGTCGCCTCTGTACAGTCGCAGTAGACAGAATTCTGTGTTTGTGGGACCACAATCTGTTGCACAGAAACCGTCACGTAAATATCAATCGGCGATAGACATCCATTCGTTGGTTCTTGACGAAGCGCCTGAACCCGTGTAAATACCGTAGCATGTAATAATTTATATTTTTTTTTAGTTCTGTACCAAAAGAAATGAAGAGAAAACATTTACCGTATAATTATCGGGCGATTGAGGCATTCAATTTTCATTTCGTGCCCTTCAAATAAATCACAGGCTATTTGAACACACAAAACGTCAATCCGTAATTCATGGGCCACATCATTTGAATTTCTTACAAAATCAAATCTCAATCTCCAAGTTGAAAAAAAAAGTCTAAATTTCGTAGAAAATAACATATGATCAAAAAAGAACCATACACTAAATAGCCAATATAAAGTCAATGTAATATTAATCGATTCAATTTAAATACTTGATAAATCTGATGGAATCTGTTCTTATGAGAAATAAAATATCTAACCGAAAGCCTTTGCACGATTGACGCGAGCACAAATTTTCTCACGTACACACAGTGATGTGTGTGCGGCTTTGATAGCACAGAAGAGAGCGAGCGAGCGAGACGAGACGAGACGAGAATGACTTATTCATTCGATTATATGTACAATGAACCAACCAAGAGGTGAAAAGCTTTAGGTCATCAAGTGGCCAATATTCACGATTCTATTGTAATGTGTAGGTGGTGCGTGTAAGAATTAGACAGAACTAACAACTCACGTAACAGCATTACCTATATTACTAAAACCATACCTTTCCATATTTCTATGCATTGTTAGAGGATTATTTCTGTCTTTCTAGTTCCAAAATCCATACCCAACGAGAAAAAAAAAAATAAAAACTCAAACATTTTAGAAGTAGACATTTCTTTTCTTCTCTATTCCTTTTTCTCAGTATAGGAATTAACCATGTTTTTTGAACGTAAAAGAAAACAATATTATTTTAATCAAAAAGGCCTCAGAATAATAATGAAGAAAGCCTTCGTTTATCGACTCATAAGCAAACTTCTAAATGTAGATGATACATTTTGAGATTAACCATAACCTAGGCAACTGTTTTAGAGATGACATTGACTGTAAAAACCAGTTAACAGCTGAGAACGTGCGAACGCACCCAGTTTCAAGACAGTTTAAATTAATTGCAAATGAAATCAATTAAGTCGAAAATCCGTCAGAAATGTATTCGGTACCGTTCAGTTTGTAGAGAATAGCGAAGAAACAATTCGGTTCGACAGCATCTTAAATACCGGCAACTGGAAACAAAATTAGAATTAAGCCTGAAAACAGCTTTAATTTTTATAATAGCAAATAAAATGTGTATTTAAAAGATCGACCGATTCAAGAAGAGGATTTCTTGCATCGAAATCGGCTCATTCTACCTTTTATCTTTCACAAACATAAACCAACAAAAAAACTATTTTACTCTAGATGCTAAGCAAGTCTCTATGCATGTTTAAAATTCAATAGGTTTTTTGGGCGTTAAATAGAGTAGCAGCGTGTTAGTTTAGCCGTCAGACGAAGCGTCGTATGCAAAATGCATGAACATGCAAAGTAAGATGAATTATTCGAAATCGTGTCTAACTCGAGTCTGGATTACAAATGACGCACTCCGTTGCTTTTATGAGCGCATCTCTAATTTGTGCTTGCGATATATATCGTAAGCCCTGTATGCAATGAATCAGGCAACATGCCATCTATGCTGCTGCTGCTGCTGCTGCTGCTGTCGTCGCTGCTCCTTACACACTCGAACGTTCACATTCATAACATAAAATCGTTCGCTTCGCATTTCACTGCATGAGAGCGTCTAGTATTGCTCGGAAATTATATGAAGTGGAACAAAAGAAACTGTTGCCAAATAAAATGAAGAATAAAACAAAACAAAACGGTTTATTCTCAAGCGCATTTATTCGGCTTAAGAGTAGATTAACCGTTGATTCACAATTTAGTTGAAATATTCAATTTCAATGCGTTTGCTTCAAATGCATGGATTATTTTTAATAAGTAGCGAAAAACCTTAGCAATTGCGTGTCATTAATTCCGAATGTCGAAATAAAATGCCACATTTTCCGTTTATACCGTTCTCATTGCGTCTCCTTCTGTTTCCCACTCTTTTTTTTTTCTTTCCTTTCTCGTTTACAATTCGATGCTCTTATATCATTGTGCTACATTTCAATTGTCAGTAGCGCGACTAATGTGGCCAAATGCACTTGATTTTTCGGTTTTCTGTTTGTTTGTTTCTCGCTATTTTTAGCCGAATGATTGCAAATCAGTCTGAATGCATCACTTATTATCTTTCGTCAGTGTACGCAATAAAGAACGATCAGAAATTTACAGTGAGCTCGAAATAATATTCAGCTGACTACACAAACGGTGAGGCACTGCGTTTATATGCTTACCATCTGTTTTCCTTTCATTTTCTCTTTCAACGTGCAAACAAGTAACCGAATCAATTTTCAGTTTAACGCTATAATTACGAAATGTAATCAATTTCAACCGGTTTTTTTTTGGGTTTCTCTATTTGGGTGCATACTATTTCCGACCTTATTTCCCCTGAGAGCAACAGTAACATAGCCGCATCCGTGTGCTCTGCTCTGCATAAACATAAACGATGATCGGAATAATCTAATTAGAATGGCGCTATTGGCAAAATTGATCGTTATTCAATAGAATAACCCATCAATTTAAAACCGATACGCATTAATAGCCAAACGATTAATACACCAAACATAAAAAAATATATATTTTTAATGACTTTTATTTATTTACTAAATCTTTTTAAACCTGTGCGTTTAACACGCCAAATTTTACTGATACTGTTATGCAAATCAATTAATACCAATTATTTATACATATGAAATCATAACGAAAAAAGAGAACAATTGTATTTAAATTGATATGTTATTTTCCTATAATTTTGAATGAAAACGTAGAGAAAAATTACGATTAGACGTGTAGTAATTGGCGAAATTAATTAGTATTTCGTTGATGAGTTCAAAATTCAAAAAAAAAAAAAATTTCTCGTTTTGTACATAAAGATTGTAAGTTTCCAATTTGTTGTAGACTGTTTACTGGAGAAACAATCATTTCTATGATGAATATAATAAACAAATCAAACCAACAATAACAAATATTGTATATTATGTGCTACAACACACTGTTTCTACATTTCAAGTGTCTAAGTGTTAAGTCATAAATTAAGATTTTTATCTGAATAAAACGAGGCACATAAAATATCAAAAACAAGCCTTTTCTTCTTAGCATTTTCCCCAATATTTATCAATTGAGCAAAAGAGGATTGTGTAATGAAACAATTAACGAGAGAATGATGTTGGTGAGTGATCAACTGAGTAATGTATAACTTTCCGATTTAGTGAGATATAGACACGTGGTTCAAAGAAAATCCATTTGACAGGAGCTGTGAGCAAATTTCCATTTAATCATCGACAAATCTCGCCCCATTTGAATGGTTGGCGCTTAAAAGCTTACGGAAATCAACATCAGTTGAAACGCAAATAAAGTCATAAATAACGCCTTGTCTTAAAATTAAGACATTAAGTCAGTTTGAAGCTACACTCTTTCCTTGGGTTGAATACTGAGTCTCACGGCCCAGCATCAATTCTTTTGGACGAAGCACTTTACTTTGAAATCTGTCGTTTCGACACATTCGCATTTTGAATTTATAAGAAAGCAAATTGAAAGTGTTGGCTAAATGATGAACAAAAGTGAAAAACGTCGTCATTGAAAAATGACGAAATTCAATGCTAGCAAACCAAATGGACGCGTCATAGATAATTTGATTCAAACCATAGGATGGAGAGCTAAGGGGATTTATCTCTCGCGAATGCTGCGAATGCATTCGCATTTCAGAACAAAAATTCGAATGTTTGCGAATGCGACGAATGCGGCTATGACATCGAACTTGTGGGTACATAATTCATTCGTTCATTCGTGTTTGGGCATGCATTTGCAACGCTGCCGTATGATTTCTATGCAAACATTCGCACTCGCATTCGTGAGAACGTTCGAGAACGGCGAAATACGACTGCCATACGAATGCGAGTGCGAATGTTTACATAGAAATCATATGGCAGCGTTGCGAATGCATAGCACTGAGCGCGAATTTGTGAATAAAAATTCGAATGCCAAACCGACATAGAAGCCCCTAGATGGAGAGTGTAATATTAAATCACGTTTAACGGATGCTTGAGCCAAAATCCAAAAATGAATCTGATTTTTTTCGCCATTGTCAGCAAGAAAAACATTGCAACGAAGAGGATGAAGGGGAAAATGCGTTATCCCAGCATGAGCGGAAATTTTAATTTAAATTGAAAGCTTAGGAAGGCGCAATGTGTTCGTTTCACTTTGAAAGTGGCAAATGCCATTTAGAACACTCTGTAAGAATGACAGCAAAAGCCATAATTCTTTCTTTTAAATTTTGATCCAAACAAAAACATGATTAAGACGAAATCGCGTCAAATAAAAAAATAGATAAAATTCAAAGTGTCATCAACAGTATCGCTCACTTTCACGAATTTCGTCGCAGTCGATAGAAGAAAAAATGAACTCGAGAGCTTGGTGGTAAAGTGCCAAGCGAAGCACAAGAAGATGAATGAGGGTGAGCCATAAGCATATTCGGAGTGTAGCACAAAACATAAAAATACGAACGAGCAGCGGAAAATGGAAGAGAGAGAGAGAATGTCGTACTGGCGAAACCAAAATTACGTATAATTAGATATCCCAAGCGCATAAAATTCACAGACACTAAACAAAAAAAACGGAATAGAAGCATCAAAACAGCAGTAAGACCGTCCCAGCAGAAAAAAAAGCAAATGGAAACATGCGGGTGGTTTGGTTGTTAGCGTGTGCAGAAACACCCACCAATGTGCACATCACGTGAAAGCAGTGTCTAATTTCGTATGCTCGTTGCGAATCTAAGCAATGCTTATATCACTCTCGAATCAAATTGATGACAAAATAAAAATCTAACTCGGAATTCAATGTGATGTGCTGTGCTGTGCTGTTATCATAACCATTGTAAGTCGAAGTCATTTTTTTTCACTCGTGTGTGTGTATGTGTGTTTCGTTTCAGTCCTTGACAACGCTCATCACCATCCACCGCAATAAATATGTAGCATGATAAAGACTTCCATTAAATTTAACTTACGCAATGGGAAGATGCTATTGTTTTCCTTTTGTTTCGAGTGGCAACGCTGGAATGGAAATGCTGTAAAAATCGCATTTATTTCAAATTAGTATTTTTCTTATTTCAGTCAAGGATTCTTTTAAGTGTGTGTTGGCTTTGGGTGTATCAATGCGAACGACTTGCACACGCTCCCTCATATGGAAAGTGGTAAACTTTTTCTTCAAACACATGTCACATGACTCTTTTGCAAGTCAAAGCGTGCTCGCGTACTCAAGAAACATCATCAATTGACTTTGAAGTATCGCATCCTTTTCTTTCCATTTGAACCTGAATATATATTGGCTATCGGGCATGTGATGTGCCATAGATCACCATCATTTAAGCATTAGTACTGCTCAGGGAATTGTACATTTTTCCGCTTTTAAGAATATTTACTTCTCTCCATCGCAAAAAAAAACAACGGAGAAAAAGGATGGTCGAAAGAATAAACACCAACTAACAATGATCATCACATTAAATTCTATAGCGGTAAGTATACTTTTGCTGGCGGCAAATGATTTTTACAAACAATTTTTCCGACAAAAACAAAATTGAATAAAAAAAAACAACGAAGATCCGAACAAAACAGCTACGACCCAACTCAAAAACACTCAAAAACAACGTTCCGAAACGAAAAGTGTGCAAAGAATGAAGAAACGAAAAGTGTGTTTCGTATTTGGGTGAAAACACTTCAAAGATTCTACTTTCATGTGGAACTTATGGAAATTTTTCGAATCGATTGTGATCCTCATTTGCTTTGGCCATTTGTTCGAATTTCACAGATCAGTTTGAAATCGACAGCGATTTATTGTGCGCATTATTTATGCGTAGCGTTTCGTTGGCCCGAGATAAATGTTACTGAATTGCAATCGCATTTGTTTTGACTCGTCTTTACGAAATCGAGACTGAAGGCACAACACGTCGAAGTTACGTACACCCGACAAATGTAAATCCGTTCACATTTATATGATGGCAACGTTTATTGCCCGCATTCGAGCTAGCTTAGTGCTCGGAACGGCTATGAGATTATTTTTTTTTCACGCATTCGGCTGTGAGAAGGCGCTTACGCAAACTTAAAATGTTAAATAGTGTTCGGTGGATCTTAGGCTGTTCAAATGGAAATAGAAGTATGAATGAAATATGCTCGCAAGTGTGACAGCAATACGAAAAAAAATTCATCCGGCTAATGTTAGAAACGCTTGCATTTCATGCAAATAAGCCATTAAATGACTGGCAAGAAGTGTAATTATGATCGGTGTTACATTAACCAGGAATTTTAGAATCCTAATTTAGAACGTCAGTATAGGCGCAAACTGCACGCTCACTACACAACATAGAAAATACAAAACGAACAAGAACGGCGAGCTGCGTTCGGAAAATAGCTCACGTCATGATATGATTTGACGGAATTTGAAGTTAAATAACATGTTGAAAATAGAAGGGATTTTGCTCCGTTACGTGCACATTTATATCATCGGTGTGTTTTTGATGTAAATACGATAATATTAAAAGGAATAAATGTAAACAAGCCAAACGATGTGAACAGATTTTGGGGCTTTTTTTCATCACATACACACAAATGCAACATTCATCAATATTTTAATGATTTATCCCGGAAATGTACGTTTTGTTTTGAAATCGATTAGTTCGTACGAGTTTATAACGATGATTGACAAATTGGATTTATTAATCTCTGTCTATCCAAGCCAATGATCCACCATGTACATTTATTCGAAAATCAATGTTCTGTCGATTTGACGGAATTCACAAAAGTCCTGTTGTTCCTGCATCACCTTGTCACGTTTTCAGACATGTTCGAATTGAACAGTTCGATACCATTTTTTTCTAAAATGTATTTCAGTAAAATGCACATCACTATTCGCTACTTTTATTTCGCTTATTTTTGGATCAGTTTAAGGAGTACAGAAGTCCGAAGAAAAATATGTTGCTGCTAGATTGTGTATAAAAAGTGTGCTCGTATATTTATTTCAGAAGAAAGCCGTATGCAATATTCAAGAGAAGTGGAAATTTGTGGCAAAATAATTGATTTGATGGACGACATTGAGGCAATTTCTAATAATACCGTATTTTCATATTGTGTTAGGTCAAAAACGAAACTATTCAAACTCGAATGGATAGAGTAAATTGGTTAATACCGTAATCAGTGTCTCTTTACCAATCCAACAAAACACGTGGGAGTAGTACAAAAGTATACTACTCGTGGAGTATTCAAAAATATATTCTCATATTATAAAATAATGATTTTCCACAAAAATTTTGTTGTCAAAAATGAGTCATTTTGGAATCAATTGCCGCTTGAAAGTATTATTAAAATTGTGTGAAAATATTCATCTATTGACACTACAATGTTGTGGACTTTCACTGAACACATATATGCTCCCTCATCTATTCATAGTATTTCCCAAAATGAACAAAGCAATTTTTTCAATCGCCAGTTCTCTATTGCCCATTTTTTTCATTGTTATTTGCTATACATTATTAAGCTAATCCATTAGTAGTTTAATTCAACTTAACGTAAAATCCATTTATTTATTTGCCATCAAGTTACTTTTTGATTTGTTTAAACTAACTCAATTTGTGATTCAACTAATTATTTATTGTCTATCTACTTATTTATTATTTACTCATTACCAAATGACTAAACTTCCTAACGAACTGAAAACTTCATCGCTGATTGATAAAGTAACAAAAAACTAAAGCAAAACTAAAACTGAAATTTAAACTTAAACTCAAATTTTAAACTTGAACTGAAAACTACAAAATTGCGATTGATATGGAAACTAAACTATTCATGTATTCATACTGTTAAACTACATTCTAAAGTCGGCTTATCAAAGTAGACTATAAAATCAATAAATAATAATTATTTTGATGTTTCATTTCAGCGTATAATAATGATATCGTGCAAATGTCGACCGACCTGTAACCCAAACCGCAATGGATCGATGGCGATGTTTTGAATGAATAGACAGCCACTGGACAATGGCTACGATTTGATAATATATACGCGACAAAGTTGTGGGTCAATTATTTCGG